GTGTGTGTGTGTGTGTGTGTGTGTGTGTGTGTGTGTGTGTGTGTGTGTGTGTGTGTGTGTGTGTGTGTGTGTGTGTGTGTGTGTGTATGTGTGTCTGTCTAGTCTGTCTGTGTGTGTATGTGTGATATTTATCCGAAATTCGACAATATAGTATATATTCTTGTCTGAACTTAGTAATCTATAAAACGTCCCTTCCAAAATGCTATGGTTATGCCACGCATTGGATAGCACGCGACCCGGTTTCAAATCTCCAACTTTACATTCTGCAGGGTAACGAATGATTGAACTGATAACCTAACCGACCATCGTTCTCTTTCACGTTCACATTTTTTCACGAAACTGTCACGTTACGAGTAATATTACCATGTGATCGCAGTTCCAAATATGTTATTGTCATTCACAACATGACGTTTCCCGTGAAGTATATATGCGATGTTGATATTATTGCCATTGTGCATGTTTGATGCTATCTTTCAGAACCATGTATCTATATGGCATTGGGTACGTAGTTGCCTTTAATGCGCTGTGCTTACTTGGACTTATCATCTATGCTAACTATCACGACTGTGACCCTATGCTCACAGGATTGATCAACCGTCCTGATCAGGTAATCGACCAATGTAATCGATCAGGTGATCGATCAGGTAATCGATCAGGTAATCGATCAGGTGATCGAATCAGGTAGCCGTGTGCTAGCGTTGACTTTATTTCGCTCAAAGCTCGCCACATTAAGCTTGTTTGTAGCAAATCTCGCCTATGGCATCCTCGCAGAAAGAAGATTAGCTAATATTATAGATTAGCTTAATAAGATAAGCTTATATTGATCTATGCACGGCAATAGATCCTCTACTTCTCCCGGCGTGTCACAAACCCTAGTCACGATAGACCTCTACTTCTCCCGGCGTGTCACAAACCCTAGTCACGATAGACCTTTACTTCTCCCGGCGTGTCACAAACCCTAGTAACGATGGACCGGTATATCGCGATGCAGTAATCCCTGCAAGAAATTCAGTTGAAATTGTCATTTTACCGCGAAACGACCAAAGCACTTGTAGTAGGACGCCATGTTAGGACGCATCTGTTCGCGCAGCACTCTCACAGCATCACATTATAAGCACAGTTCAAGTGTATTAAAGAGTAGGCGTGAATTAGATCGCGCCACTCCGAAGGCTTCCTTTGCCCGTTAACCTTTGACTTGATTTGATCTTTTTGTGTTCTTAAGGTTTTTCATACTTGTTTTCTGCGTAAGAAACACGACGGTGAGTGCCAACGAAAGCATCAAGCTTTTCTAGATAACTGCTGGCATGTCATTAGAATTTTATTATCTTTTTTCAACTATACTAGATACTGCCTTTGTTTGTCATGGACACGGTCGGTCATCTCCGTGGTCTTCCTGGACTGTTCCTGTCCGCTCTGTTTAGCGCGGCGATAAGGTATGTCTATCAACGATAACGTCAGAATACAACAATAAGCCTGCTCGACTTATTACACTAAAGCCTCGTCTACACGACGAACCTTAACTCGAGTTAAGCGTTAACTCGAGTTAGCTTAACCTCGCCAGTCGATTGAGGTTAAGCTAACTTGAGTTACCTTAACCCCGTGTTGACGCTTAACTCGAGTTAGCTTAACCTCCACGATAGGCGGCAGCACTAGTACGATGTACGTACACACGCACACACGCACGCGTACTTGCACACGCACGCACACACTCATGCATGCACGTGTACGTGCACACGCACGCACGAACGCACGTGTACGTGCACACGCATGCACGCACGCGCGCAAGAACGTGTACCTGCACACACGCGCACGCACGCACGTGTACTTGCACACGCACGCACACACTCATGCACGCACGTGTACATGCACACGCGCGTGTACGTGCACACGCACGCACGCACGCACGTGTACGTGCACATGCATGCACGCACGCACGCACGTGTACCTGCACACACACGCACGTACGCACGCACGTGTACGTGCACACACACGGACGCACGCACGCACGCACGCACGCACGAACGTGTACCTGCACACGCGCGCACGCACGCACGTGTACGTGCACATGCACGCACGGACGCATGCACGCACGTGTACGTGCACACGCACGCACGCACATGTACGCACTCACGCATGCACGCACGTGTACGTGCACATGCACGCACGCACACATGTACGCACTCAAGCATGCACGCACGTGTACTTGCACACGCACGCACACACTCATGCACGCACGTGTACGTGCACATGCACGCACGCACACATGCACGCACATGTACGCACTCACGCATGCACGCACGTGTACGTGCACACGCACGCACGCACGCACGCACGCACACGCGCACACACGCACACATGCACGCACATGTACGCACTCACGCATGCACGCACGTGCACACGCACGCACACACGCGCACACACGCACGCACGGTTTACATACACACGCACGCAAGCATGCATAATAAATCGGTAATAATCGCTATCGGGTGTTGTCGTGTAGACGCTACATAATCGCCAAACTCGAGTTAACGTTCGGTAAGCTAACTCGAGTTAACGTTCGGTAAGCTAACTCGAGTTAAGGTTCGTCGTGTAGACGAGGCTTAAGATATCATCACCAAACGAAGCTGCTTATCGATATTAGCAAGTCAAAGTGACTTATTATAATATATATATATATATATATATATATATATATATATGTGTGCGTGTGTGTGTTTGTGTTTCAGTACCGTATCCAGTGGGGTAAACTCTCTCGCAGCCGTAGGGTTGCAGGACATTATTCGGCCTGTGTACTATAAGCGTACAGGCTTGCAACTGAGCGAGGTCGTAGCAACACGATGTGCGAAAGGAATGGGTGCGTTTACCAGTAGAAAAATTATTAACATATACGTTGTATATAACGGCTATATTTGAAGGCTTATATGATCGGGAAATACGATTATTTTGTCGGATTTATATGTGCAAATTTATTATTATTTTTCAGCTGTGTTTTTAGGACTCCTTACAATAGCACTTGCATTTCTCGCGTCGTTGTTTAGTGCTACCGTTATCCAGGTATGCTCAATCACCTTTTACCTCCTTCTGCTATCATGCACATAGGACGTACGCGCCACACTATTTCATAATATAGCGTATAAAGGGATAACGTCTGAATCATATCCCGACATAAGAAATAATGTTCCATTACTATCCACGGCGCACTACATTTATCGCTTCAAATGTACCGTGACGTTTTAACGGAATGTCATTTTTGCCTAAACGGTTGTATGAATTTACGTGCGTTTTATAAAGTAAGAGTCATATCGATTCCAACATTATGTGTGAAATTATACTAATTAATTATAATTGCATTACTTACGTGCTTGGGGTTTTACTTCGGTTTCAGCTGGTCTTTACGATCTACGGTATCGCCGGTGGTCCATTATTCGCTCTCTTCACTCTCGGAATGTCCGTGCCGTTTGCAAACGAATGGGTGAGTAGTGGAAACTACAGGTTTCTCAACTACCTGGGTGCGTTAACGTTTACACATCGACACGCGTAGAAGTGTTGACTGCTCAAGCTGTTATAACTTTAAGTGTGTAGTAGAAATTAAAGCAGTATATACGTGGAGTAAAACTTAAATTATGAGGAATCCCATCACGGATAAAAAAGATAGAGTTAGTAAGCGTCTTCAAATCGCCGGTACGGAGATTTAGAACAAATAACATATATATAATGTCCGCGTAGTTCAAATTACGTGTTACATGCGCGTACAAAAGTTTGTTCATTGTCAATTGAAAACATAATATATCAACCCTGATGGTGCGTCATCGTAGCCATCCTGAGAAGTGAAGAGCTCATATAAGAAGACTTGCTCATCAAGTGGTACCCGCTTTTACGGGGAAGGTAAAGAATCATGAAAATATGTCCCGATTAAGCTAAGCGGTGGTTGCGATTATACGGTCAGTAATGTTTTAAAAAAACATGTATCGTATAAGCGATGCTCGGGGACCGTTTACCCAGCGCCCGTTAAAGCGGGGACCACTGTGTTATATAGCTAAGATAACCGGACACGAGTACATATTTAGTGATGGGGACGTCGCTTTGGTATTTGCAGGGCGCTGGTGCCGGCACCTTAGTTTCGCTTATTTTCGGAATGTGGATCGGCTTTGGTCGTGTCTTCAACAAGGCGCCGAAAGTGACGCTAGCGCGGACCATTGAGGGATGTGTTAACAACATCACTACACTGATACAATACAACGTCAGTGCACACAACACTGCTACCTCGACCACCACACTGGGGCCCATCGCATCGACGATCATTGACCAGTCCAAAGCAATATCGTGGAAGTAAGCGGTTATTATATTATTATTATATATTTATTGAACATTAATACGATATAAGCATGCGAAACCGTTACTAAATCTCAGTGTATCATTACACAATACAGCGCTCATCTTGGTCTCTGAACCAAAATGTGTATAGACGTATACGTGCTGGTCGCGACCGCAGCAGGATTACGTGTTTAAATTGCATGGTTGCATGATTAGATCGAGGGACAACTACGCAACTAGTTTTTAGCGTTATTATTTTTATCGGATTTTTTCACTACAGTGAGTACGTCTACGAAGCAAAACCGGTTGATCAACTTTACAAGGTATCTCACATGTGGTACGGATTACTGGCCTTTGTCATTGTTATGGTCGTCGGAATTGTAATCAGCCTGTTCACAGGTAGGTCGTAGCCGGTACGTGCGCGCGTGCGTGCGTGCGTGCGTGTGTGCGTGCATGTCTGCGTGTGCGTGCGTGTGTTGTGTGTGCATGCGTGCGAGCGTTTGTGTCATGTGTGTGTGCGTGCGTGTGTTGTGTGTGCATGCGTGTGTTGTGTGTGCATGCGTGCGTGCATACGTGCGTGTGTTGTGTGTTCATGCGTGTGTTGTGTGTGCATGCGTGTGTTGTGTGTGCATGCGTGCGTGCGTACGTGCGTGCGTGCATGTCTGTGGCTGCGTGCGTGTGTTGTGTGTGCATGCGTGCGGGCGTATGTGTGATGTGTGTATGTGTATGTTTGTGTGTGTGTGTGTGGGTGTGTGTGTGTGAGTGTTTGTGTGTGTGCGTGTACGTGTGCGTGCGTGCGTGCGTGCGTGCGTGCGTGCGTGCGTGTGTGTCTGGGTGTGCGTGTGTTGTGTGTGCATGCATCCGGGCGTATGTGTGTCATGTGTGTGTGCGTGCGTGTGTTGTGTGTGCATGCGTGCGGGGGTAGGCCTGTGTGTGTGTGTGCGTGCGTGCGTGCCTGCGTGCGTGCCTGCGTGATTGCGTGCGTCCATGCATGTGAGTGTGCGTGCGTGTGTCATCGCACGTGTATATGAGTCAGCGTGTAGATGTCCATGCAATAATTATTTTAACGTACGTATTACTGTTATTAATATACTGTTATAAAGGAGGTCTTGATCAGGAGGTGGATGACCGCCTTCTCTTCGCACACGTCAGGCCTCTGCAGAGATGGATCAGAAAAAGACGCGGACCGCCGCGCAAGACCTATATATTTTATAACGAGGTATATATGTATGTATATATATATGTGTGTGTGTTTGTATATATATATATATATATATATATATATATATACATGTCTTACTAAATAACTGAATGAATGCGCACGCGTGCGTGCGTGGCTGGGATGGAGGGAGCAGGCGCGTTTTTTGTGCCACTTGTGGAATTTTTTCTGACTTTTCTATTCCAACATGGATTAAGGATGTTATTCTGTTGAGTTGGCTGACAATGTGGAGGCATCGTTGATGACCTCATACTCGTCAAGGTTAGTTTTGTAATTTTTGATTGGTGCAGTTGCAGGAAAATGAGCACGTCACTAACAAACCAGCAGCCAACGCGTTGAAGACGTCAGTGAAGCAAAACACCGAATACAAAGGCAACGGCGCCATTGAATATCACGATGATGACGGCAACCACATGAACCGTACCAATAACATCACTAAACTCTAAGCTACAGAGATTATAGATGCGTGCAATTACCAAATAGCAATGTCACGAGAAGTTCTTATATCGCGTTTACAAGCAACAATCGCGAGACCACTGTGTACGTATAGAAGAAGTGATTAGAAGAATTCGAACGTACTTAGTCTATTACTACAGCTATATATAGAGATACGACAACGTAACACTGTTGTAACCGTCCGGCTACGTTGTCTGCCGTCGAGTGTTGTCGATTTAAAACTGTTTTAGCGAGAAATACGCACACATAGTCTTGTTTACATTTGTTCTTTATTCTCTACTGTACATGGTTGTGGCTGCGTGGTTTTAACTGAAATTACAAAGAAAAATATGCCAAGCGTTAACAATGTTAGCTATAACAAGTGTTACATGGGTAGCAAACAAACCGTTATAATAATTTACCACAAACTATAATGTATTTACTATTATATGTGTTACTTACATCGCTGAGATGTCTGGGTGTCTATGGAAATATCGTTGTCTTAATAAATAACATGTCGCGCACACTGATACGTGATTTGTCGTTGTCGCGTGTACCTGCCTGACTGGCTTTTGGGAAGTGCTTAACGCGCATGCTCGTAAGCCACTCGCTACGCGTCTTTCAACAAACTACACTATTTAGTGGCAGCACCATACAGTCACAATGAATGTAGAATAAACTAAATTTGGCCTTAACATCCCGGCCCCTAATGCACATGTACCCGAATGCCATTACACGAATATTAAAGGCAGAATTCTAGCAACTTATAATCAAACATGGTCGGTTACCTCACGAAGTTAAACTAAAACTGAACTAAACTTTCTTCAACCTGTTTAGGCATCATTGTGGGGCTTGGGTGTCATCTTAACTCCTTCCAGGACACATAGCTTGTCTATCGGTCTGTCATAGAGTCCACCACGGGTCTTCACTTGAACAGACCTAACTTTACCGTCCTTGCCAGGTTAGACATCTACCACCAAACCCAAGGGCCATTGGTGACGAGGAGTGTTTTCGTATTTGATCAGTACGAGATCACCAACTTTTCCTTTATGCGTTCAACCATTTCTGCCTTTCCTGTAGCGATGGCAGATATTTCTTTAGCCATCGTTGCTAGAATACGTCAGCCAGATACTGAACTTGGCGCCATCGTTTGCGGTAAAATCCTGCTTAACGAAGATTCCAGGTGGGAAGGATGGACCAGAGCGAAGTAGCAGCAGATGGTTAGGTGTCAATGGAGCCGCGTCACGTGGGTCATCGGATAGTTTGGTAATGGGACGACCATTCATGATGCCTTCTACGATGCACATGAGGGTGACCAGACCTTCATTATTAAGCGTTTGCTGATCAAGCAATCTGTTTAAAATGGAACGTATTGTCCGAATTTGGCGTTCCCCACCCCACCCATGTGGGAGGCTGTCGGAGGGTTAAAGATCCATTTGATCTCCTTTTGGCACAAGAAGTCCTTTATTTTCCCTTGACTAGTGGTGCCCCCGGACGCCCTGTCCTTGTGCAAACCGAAGGTTTGAGTTAATATATGCAGCGGCACGCTTCCCCTACTGGCAATTTAACTAGTGGTGCCCCGGACGCCCCGTCCTTGTGCAAACCAAAAGTTTGAGTTCATATATGCAGCGGCACGCTCCCCCTACTGGCGATTTAATACAAAACAGGGAATTACATATGGGAATTCACTGGGAATTCGTCTAATCTGAATTCGTGGGCAACAGTGACTGACTTGACACAGCGTTTGCTGGTAAGCATGTCATCGTAGCATCGTTAAAAAAATTTGGCATTTAAAAGCGCACGAAAAACTATAATAAAACTTAAATAACCCTAATTACCTCAACTCACAAAATGGCCGCCTCCGGCGGCCATATTCGCTCGTTACGCTGATGAGATTATACGATGATTTCTCTAAATCCCGGCCCGATTCATAGTAATCTCTTAGTAAAATATTGACTTGATGCGAAGACAATAATACAAGGATCCACTAGCTAGGAAGCTAACATAAAATTTTCTGTCCCGGTATATTTATTTCTATATAAAACACTTTGTACACACCTTCTAATCCATTTTTTTTCTCTTCAAATTAAGGCTAATATAATATACGGAACCCGCTTAATACGATTATTTTTCTTTGGCCCGTCAGTTTCGTACTAACGGGGTGCGACTGCAGTAATGAATAGTAGTCATTGAATGAGGAGTTTAGGCTTTGCAGTAATTGTATCTATTTGTGAACAATTTAACGCTACTAAAGTTCTTAATTATACATATAACCCATGCCTTGATGCTTCCCCGCATATAATAAATACTCTAGCAGGCAAAATCACGCCACCACGCCCGGTGCCAAAGCCGCGTGTGCCCACTGCTTGAAGAATCAAGTTTGCTCCCCACTAACAGTCAATATTTATAACACACACACACACGCTCACACACAAATACACATACACACACACGCTCACACACAAATACACACACACATACGTACGCACGCACGCACGCACACACGCACACACATATTATTAAATATATATATACATACATAAATATATAGATAGTATGGGTACCCTATATATGTCCATGGGTAAAATACTATATAATAGACACGGTATGGGCTTAGCACGAGCAATGTGGGTGGGGGAGGACTTGATACTGGCAGCCATTGCTGTGCTGCAGCGTAACACTGTACATTTACGTCATAGACTACTGTATTCATTGTAGTCTGTGAATCAATCTCGTCGTTCGGGTATTTGCATAGATATATACAACACGTGTTGTATATATCTATGTTGCTTTGTAAGTTTACCGCCAGCGCACTTAGCGGAAGTTTGAACTGAATCGTGCATGTTTCCAGTCGTCGAAAGGAGATTTCCAAAGATTTCTAAATAATGGTTTTTTAATCATTAAATCCCCAATAAATGACAAAGAAAGCCAAAGTGTTAGAATCGAACCTGATGCCGTAGGAATGAAGCACGAAAAAAAAAATTTCTAACGATTGGCCGGATTCGTGCACGCGCCTATAAGTTTATGCAGAAACAAACCAGAACGACATGACTCAAATTTATTATATAGATGCACTACGCCCACAATCTCTCTCTTTTTTTATCTTCCTTCCCGTTCGGTCGGCCGGACGCGCAAACTAGCCGTCACTTTGTTGTTGAGAGGATCGGTGCGCGTTTAGCATCTAATAATAATCTTGAGTATAGCTGTCGGTTCTGTTGTTTCTGCATAACTTAATAGGCGCGTGCACGAATCGGGCTGGAAATTATTCAGTGCTCATATCTCACGCATCAAGCGTTCGCCATTCTCAAACCACTTTGCCTTTTTGTCATTTAGTGGCATTAATGAGTAAAAAAACCATTATTTTTAGAAATCTATTGGAAAAATCTCCCTGGGAAAACATGGCACGATTCAGTTCACTTCCGCCTAAGTGCGCTGGCGTAAACTTACAAACAACAAGATCATATACAACACGTGTTGTATATCATCTATGGCAAATACCCAACGACAGATTTGCATTCGACAGGACTACCAATGAATACAGTAGTCTATGACGTAAATGCTACAGTGCGTTACGCTGGGCACACGGCAATGGCCTTTTATTTTTTTCTTTTTTTTTTTTTTTTCTTTTTTTTTTTTTTTCTTTCTTTTTCTTTTTTTTTTTTTTTTTTTTTTTTTTTTTTTTTTTTTTTTTTTTTTTTTTCGTTTTTTTTTTTTTTTTTTTTTTTTTTTGTTTTTGTTTTTTTTTTTTTTTCTTCCAGCTATCAAGTCCTCCCCCACCACATTGCTCGTGCTAAAGCCCATACCGTCGCTCTAGTATATATATTTACCCATACATAATATATACCCATACTATCTATATATTTATGTATGTATATATATATATATATATATGTGTGTGCGTGTGTGCGTGCGTGCGTGCGTACGTATGTTGTGTGTTGTATTTGTGTTGTGAGCGTGTGTGTGTATGTGTATTTGTGTGTGAGCGTGTGTGTGGTGTTATAAATATTGACTGTTAGTGGGGAGCAAACTTGATTCTTCAAGCAGTGGGCACACGCGGGCTTTGGCACCGGGCGTGGTGGCGTGATTTTGCCTGCTAGAGTATTTATTATATGCGGGGAAGCCATCAAGGCATGGTATATTGTTAAGATTAAGAACTTAGTAGCGTTAAATTGTTCACAAATAGATACAATTACTGCAAAGCCTAAACTCCTCATTCAATGACTACTATTCATTACTGCAGTTCGCACCCCGTTAGTACGAAACTGACGGGCCAAAGAAAAATAATCGTATTAAGCGGGTTCCGTATATTATATTAGCCTTAATTTGAAAGAGAAAAAAAATGGATTAGAAGGTGTGTACAAAGTGTTTTATATAGAAATAAATATACCGGACAAAAATTTTATGTTAGCTTCCTAGCTCAGTGGATCCTTGTATTATTGTCTTCGCAATCAAGTCAATATTTTACTAAGAGATTACTATGAATCGGGCCGGGATTAAGAGAAATCATCGTATAATCTCATCAGCGTAACGAGCGAATATGCGCCGGAGGCGCGGCCATTTTGTGAGTTGGAGGGTAATTAGGGTTATTTAAGTTTTATTATAGTTTTTCGTGCGCTTTTAATGCCAAATTTTTATTAACGATGCTACGATGACATGCTTACCAGCAAACGCCTGTGTCAAGTCAGTCACGTGCCCACGAATTCAGATTAGACGACTTCCCAGTGAATTCCCATATGTAATCCCTGTTTTGTATTAAATCGCCAGTAGGGGGAGCGTGCCGCTGCATATATGAACTCAAACTTTTGGTTTGCACAAGGACGGGGCGTCCCGGGGCACCACTAGTTTAAATTGCCAGTAGGGAAGCGTGCGCTGCATATATTAACTCAAACCTTCGGTTTGCCACAAGACAGGGCGTCCGGGGCACCACTAGTCAAGGGAAATAAAGGACTTCTTGTGCCAAAAGGAGATCAAATGGATCTGTTTAACCTCGACAGCCTCCCACATGGGTGGGGTGGGAACGCCAATTGCGACAATACGTTCCATTTTAAACCAGATTGCTTGATCAGCAAACGCTTAATAATGAAGGTCTGGTCACCCCATGTGCATCGTAGAAGGCATCATGAATGTGAGCCCATTACCAAACTATCGGATGACCACGTGACGCGGCTCCATTGACACCTAACCATCTGCTGCTACTTCGCTCTGGTCCATCTTCCCACCTGGAATCTCGTTAAGCAGGATTTTACCTGCCAAACGATGGCGCCAAGTCAGTATCTGGCTGAGCGATTCTAGCAACGATGGCTAAAGAAATATCTGCCATCGCTACAGGAAAGGCAGAAATGGTTGAACGCATAAAGGAAAGTTGGTGATCTGCTACTGATCAAATACGAAAACACTCCTCGTCACCAATGCCCTTGGGGTTTGGTGGTAGATGTCTAACTGGCAAGGACGGTAAAGTTAGGTCTGTCAAGTGAAGACACCGTGGTGGACTCTATGCAGACCGATAGACAAGCTATGTGTCCTGGAAGGAGTTAAGA